CTGCACAATAATAGTGGGAGACTTTACCACTCCACTGTCAATATTAGACAGATCAACGAGACAGAAAATTAACAAGGATATTCAAGAATTTTCAAGACTTGAACTCAGAACTGGGCCAAGTGGACCTAACAGACATCTACAGAAATCTCCACCCCAAATCCACAGAATATATTCCTCTCAGTGCTGCATTGCACCTACTCTAAAACTGACCACATAATTGGAAGTAAATTACTCCTCAGCAAATGTAAAAGAATGGAAATCATAACAGTCTCTCAGACCACAGGGCAATCAAATTAGAACTCAGAATTAAGAAACTAACTCAGAAGCACACAACTTCATGGAAACTAAACAACCTGCTCCTGAATGTCGACTGGATAAAACATGAAATGAACGTAGAAATAAAGATGTTCTTTGAAACCAAGAAGAATGAATACATGGTGTACCAGAATCTCTGGGACACATTTAAAGCAGTGTTTAGAGGGAAATTTATAGCAATAAATGCTCACCAGAGAACTGAGGAAAGATTTAAAACTGACATTCTTTCATCAAAATTGAAAGACCTAGAGAAGCAAGATCAAAATAACTCAAAAGCTAGCAGAAGACCAGAAATAACTAAGATCAAAGCAGAACTGAAGGAGATAGAGCAAAAAAAAAAAACAACCCTTCAAAAAAATCAATAAATCCAGAGCTTGTTTTTGAAAAGATCAACAAAATAGACCACTAACCAGATTAATAATAAAGAAAATAGAGAAGAATCAAATAGATGCAATAAAAAATGAAAAAGGGGATATCACCACCAATTCCACAGAAATACAAACTACCATCAGAGATTACTACAAACAACTCTATGCATATAAACCAGTAAACTTGGAAGAAATGGATAAATTCCTGGACACTTGCACACTCCCAAGGCTAAACCAGGAAGAAGTTGAAACCTTGAACAGACCAATAACAAGGGCTGAAGTTAAGGCAGCAATTAATAGCCTACCAACCAAAAAACGCCCAGGTCCAGATTGATTCACAGCTGAATTCTAACAGACATACAAAGAGGAGCTGATACCATTCCTTCTGAAACTTTTTCAAACAATCCAAAAAGAGGGAATCCATCCCAAATCATTTTATGAGACCAACATCATCCTGATACCAAAAACGTGCAGAGACTCAACAAAAGAAGAAAACTTCAGGCCAAAATCCATGATGAACATAGATGCAAATATCTTCAATAAAATATGGGCAAACAATTGCAACAGCATATCAAAAAGCTTCTCCATCATGATCAAGCAGGCTTCATCCTGGGGATGCAAGGCTGGTTCACCATATGCAAGTCTATAAATATAATTCACCACATAAACAGAACAGAAGACAAAAACCACATGATTACCTCAACAGATGCAGAGAAGGCCTTCAACAAAATTCAACAACCCTTTATGCTATAAAATCTCAATAAACTAGGTATCGAAGGAACATATCTCAAAATAATAAAAGCTATTTATGACAAACCCACAGCCATTCATCATACTGAATGGGCAAAAACTGGAAGCATTCCCTTTGAAATCCGGCACTAGACAAGGATGCCCTCTGTCACCACTCCTATTCAATATAGTATTGGAAGTCCTAGCCAGAGCACTTGGGCAAGGAAAAAAGAAAGGGTATTCAATTAGGAAAGGAAGAAGTCAAATTGTCTCTATTAGCAGACAACATGATTGTCTATTTAGAAGATCCTGTCAACTCAGCCCAAAATCTTAAACTGATAAGCAACTTCAGCAATGTCTCAGGATACAAAATCAATGTGCAGAAATCACAGACATTTCTATACACCAATAACAGACTAACAGACAGCCAAATCATCAGTGAACTCCCATTCACAATCGCTACATAGAGAATAAAATACCTAGGAATACAACTAACAAAGGGTGTAAAGGACCTCTTCAAGGAGAACTACAAACCATTGCTCAACGAAATAAGAGAGGACACAAACAGATGGAGAAACATTCTATGTTCATGGTTAGGAAGAATCAATATCGTGAAAATGGCCATACTGCCCAAAGTAATTTACAGATTCAATGCTATCCCCATCAAGCTACCAATGACCTTCTTCGCAGAACTGGAAAAAACCACCTTAAACTTCATATGGAACCAAAAGAGAGCCTGCATAGCCAAGTCAATTCTAAGCAAAAAGAACAAAGCGGGAGGCATCACACTACTGGACTTCAAACTATACAACAAGGCTACAGTAATCAAAACAGTATGGTACTGGTACCAAAACAGAGATATAGACCAATGGAACGGAAAAGAGGCCTTGGAGGCAATGCCACACATCTGATCTTTGACAAACCTGACAAAAACAAGCAATGGGGGAAGGATTCCCTGTTTAATAAATGGTGTTGGGAAAACTGGCTAGCAGTGTGCAGAAAGCAGAAACTGGACCCCTTCCTGATACCTTACACTAAAATTAACTCCAGATGGATTAAAGACTTAAACATAAGACCTAACACCATAAAAGCCCTAGAAGAAAATGTAGGCAAAACCATTTAGGACATAGGTATAGGCAAGGACTTCATGACTATAACACCAAAAGCATTGGCAACAAAAGCCAAAATAGACAAATAGTACCTAAATAAACTCCAGAGCTTCTGTACAGCAAAACAAACAATCATTAGAGTGAACCGGCAACCAAAAGAATGGGATAAAATTTTTGCAATCTACCCATCTGACAAAGGGCTAATATCCAGAATCTACAAAGAACTAAACAGATTTACAAGAAAACAAACAAACAAACAAATAAACAAATGAATTAATCCAAAATTGGGCAAAGGACATGAACAGACACTTTCCAAAAGACGACATACATGAGGCCAAGAAACATAGGAAAAAATGCTCATCATCACTGATTATTAGAGAAATGCAAATCAAAACCACATGGAGATACTACGTCACATCAGTTAGAATGGCGATCATTAAAAATTCTGGAGACAACAAATGCTGGAAAGGATGTGGAGAAATAGGAATACTTTTACACTGTTTGTGGGAGTGTAAACTAGTTCAACCATTGTGGAAGACAGTGTGGCGCTTCCTTAAGGACCTAGTAATAGAAATTCCATTTGACCAGCAATCCCATTACGGGGTATATATCCAAAGGATTATAAATCGTTCTACTATAAAGACACATGCACATGTATGTTCATAGCAGCACTGTTTACAATAGCAAAGACATGGGCCCATCCTAAATGCCCATCGACAATAGACTGGAAAGGAAAATGTGGCACATATACATGATGGAATACTATGCAGCCATAAAAAATCATGAGTTTGTGTCCTTTATAGGGACATGGATGAACCTGGAAACCATCATTCTCAGCCAGCCGACACAAGAACAGAAAAGCAAACACCAAATGTTCTCACTCACAGGCAGGTGGTGAACAATGAGAACACAGGGACACAGGGAGGGAAGCATCACACACTGGGGTCCGCTGAGCAGGGCCAAGGGAGGGATAGTGAGTGGGGAGGGATAGTGGTTGGGGAGGGATAACATGGGGAGAAATGCCAGATGTAAGTGACGGGGGGATGGAGGCAGCAAACCACATTGCCATGTGTGTACCTATGCAACAATCCTGCATGATATGCACATGGACCCCAGAATCTAAAGTACAATTTAAAAAAGAATGCTTGCATAATTATAACTAGCATTCAGATCTTGGGACCATTAATACAAAACTAGTAACAAAGCATAAAAATGAAGAAAAAGTACACTCAATCTTAGAATCTTATCTTTCAACTATCATCCTATTACCATTTGCCAGAAACTAAAAACAGAGGGTACTATTTATATCTAAATCATAAGGACCTATTCAGATTATTTCTGCCCCTGAGTAACACTGGACATACTCAAAGCTTTACTTGTGTACAAACTACCCACCTGATTACTGATATCTCCCCCTGTAAACCTCCAAGGCAAAATACAGGCCAGTGTGCAGTGCCATTCTGTCTTCCTTACTGGGAGAGGATGCCATGGGGATTATTCACTCATTCATTCATTCATTCATTCATTCATTTTGAGACAAAGTTTCACTCTTGTCTCCCAGGCTACAGTGCAACACAGGGCCATCTCAGCTCACTGCAACCACTGCCTCCCAGATTCAAACTCTCCTCCTTCAGCCTCCCAAGTAGCTGGGATTACAAGCACCTGCTACCACACCTGGCTAATTTTTGTATTTTTAGTAGAGATGGGGTTTTGCCATGTTCGCCAAGCTGGTCTCAAACTCCTGATCTCATGTGATCCACCCACCTCGGCCTCCCAAAGTGCTGGGATTACAGACGTGAGCCATGGTGCCCAGCCTATTGATTTATTTTGATAGGGAAAAAGATCTATCCATGCTACTTTTGAATAGATGTATTCCCCATGCAACTGATCAACTAGGTATAAATGTACAACTGGAGGTCTCAAGTTTTTCGTTAAATAATTTGTAATCAACTGAGTAGGTTTGATCAAGGATCCTGCCTTGGCCACCACTTCTGGTTTCCCCTGAATGTCTTAAAACACATAACAAATGAAAGCCCAAAGACTGTTTGCTAAGTGGATGAGATTTGAGCATAGACTTCACTCAGTCTCTGAAGCTGTGGCTGAGACGGAGCTCCCTGCAAAGCTGTACTCTCCCTAATTTCTAAGCTGCAACATAAAGAAGTCCCCACATCTATGGTGCTAAAAGTGATGACATCCAGTTATGTGGAAGCTCAATGAAGCCCACACTCCCCTCACCCTTGCTGTGCAGTTTATCTCCACTATCAAAGTCATCACCCCCACACATTGAAAACCAGTGTCAGATAGGGTAGTTTTCTGGGGAAGAAGAGTGCAGACTTTCCCTGCACACAGCCAATAACCAATCCAACCCAGTTCACCCACAGTGTAAAGGAAAATTAAACTAAGCCGAAGTTTCAGCCTTGGATGTGTCTTCTGAGCTCAGTTACTATGACTCCTTATGACAGCTCTATATTGTACTCACTTGGAAGTGTTTTCAAGTATTCCTTTAACTTCATTTATTTCTTCTTTCCCAAAGTAAACAACAGTGAGATGGACTCTCCCATCCTGCTCGATGCACATTTCCCTGGAAAACAAAACACACGCATCTGGTGCCTGTTTTCACATTGACGGGCACAGCACAAATGCCTTTTCATAAAGCGCAAAAGGGTCTTAAAGGAAACTAAGTAAGCTTCCAGGAAACAGAAAGGGGAATCCAGAACCTTTCTGCTTGGCCATTCCAATTGCCTGTATTTGTATTTATCTTATTGGGACAACAAGGAAATTTAAATATGCAGTAAATCAAAACTCAGATGCAAGGCACCTCAGTTCCAATCTGCCACAGGCCTAGCCCATTGGGGCCAGACAGTGTCATGGAAATGGGTCCCTGGTTTTACCCCATAAAAAGACACTGAAGTACAAAAGATGAGAAAGCCCAAATGCAGAGAGGATGAGACTAGAATCCTTGCCCATGACTCTTTTTTTGTGTGGGCCAAACACAGAGTCTTAAAGAGTGGATGAGCAAAGGTCAAAACTCACTCTCTTGTTTAGGACTCTAGAATGCCTTGAAAGTAACCAGTGTTATGACTGTCTGAAGAAATGGCAAGGCAGAGACACAGTCACTGAAGTTTACCCTTCCCAAGCAGATACAATCACCTTCACCACATCCCTATTTCTCCTCTCCATGACTCTGATGATCCCAGGCACCCAGCACCTCATGCTCCAGGGATCTGACAAAACAACCATTTGGCTGCATCCTCCTGGAGCCAGACCTCTGGCTCTGGCCTTGTCCTGACCTGCTCTCCCACATTAGCAATTTGTTTTTTTGCTGGGTCTTTTTAAGAGAACGCCCTAGCTAATCTGGGAAGGTCCTCTGCTGAGGGTTGAGTTCATTTATGCGTATGTGTATTTATGTAAATGCAGGTGTGTATGTGTGAATGTGTATGTATGTATATATGTGCATGTAAATGTGTGTATATGTGTAGATATGTAAATATAAGCATGTGTGTAAATCAGTTTATGTACACATATATGCACATATTGTGTACATATATGTACCTTCCCCTCAGTATCTGTGCTAATTGTCTGTTCTCATGCTGCTAATAAAGACATACCCAAAACTGGGTCATTTACAAAGGAAAGTGGTTTAATGGACTCACAGTTCCACATGACTGGGGAGATCTTGCAATCATGGCAGAAGGCAAAGGAGGATCAAAGGCATATCTTACATGGTGGCAGCCAAGAGAGCTTGCACAGGGGGACTTCCATTTATAAAACCATCAGAACTTGTGAGACTTATTCACTACCACAAGAACAGTATGGAAGAACCTGCCCCCATGATTCAATTATCTCCACTTGGCCCTGCCCTTAACAGGTGGGTATTACTACAATTCAAGATGAGATTTGGGTGGGGATATAGCCAAACCATATTAGTATCCATGAGGGATTGATTCCAGAAGTCCCCTGGGGATACCAAAATCCAGATGCTCATGCCCTTATATCAGCAGTCCCCAAACTTTTTGGCACCAGGGACCAGTTTTGTGGAAGACAATTTTTCAACACTGGGAGTGGGGGTAGAGATGGGGGTATGGTTTTAGGATGAAACTGTTCCACCTCAGATCATCAAGCATTAGAGTCTCATAAAGAGCATGCAACCTAGTTTCCTTACACGTGCAGTTCACAGTAAGGTTTGTGCTCCTATAAGAATCTACTGCTGCAGCCGATAGGACAAGAGGCAGTGCTCAGGTGCTAACGCTCACTCACCAGCTACTCACCTCCTGCTGTGTGGCCTAGTTCCTAAGGGGCCACAGACCAGTATCGGTTTCTGGCCCAGGGGTTGGGCCCTCTGCCTTATATAACATGGTGTGGTATTTGGATATAACCTGCACACATACTCTTGTAGATTTAAATGATTTCCAGATTACTTGTAACACCCAATACAATGTAAATGCTGTGTAAGAGTTTTTGTTCTATATTGTCTAGGGAATAATATCATGGAAAAAAAAGGTTGAACATATTCAGTACAGATGCAAACATTCCTGTTTTGTTTTTTAGAATATTTCCAGTCCTTGATTGGTTGAATCAGAAGGTGTAGAACCCATGGATACAGAGGGACAACTGCATACCTGTATGTGTGCAATTTTAACGTGAGTTTCTGGAAACAAGTTAACGAAAAGATTCTATTGGTGGGATGGTATTTTGTGATATTGGTATTTCGTACTTCCTTCCATGTGGTTTCTCTTATCTCAGTGTTGGCTACTTGCCCTAGCCCTCAAACAATAATCCACATCATGATTTCTAGAGATCCCTGAGCTCTAATCCAGAGGGCAGTTTGCTCAATGCTTTTAATAATGACACCAAAAAGGAGTGACTGCCTTCCTCGCGTTGCTGGGAGAAATCCACAGCCACGGAAGATACAGTTCTTGCCTTCATAACACTTACTTAGGAAATCAAATGAGCTCTAATAAAACCATCAAACATCTCATGGCACTGAAATAAAAAATATATAATTCATAAGGCATAGCAAATCCCGTGGGCTGGGATGGCTGGAGCTGTGAAGGAGAAGGATAGGGTTTAGAAACATAGAAGTAGGAAAGAAGAGAATTCCAGACGGAAAAAATAGGGAAGATGATATTGAACCAGGCAAGAGGCACCCAGGGCTCACTCTGGTCACAGGATTCATTTGAGAATTCTGTCTCTTTCTGGTGGAACAAAGAACTGCCTCAGGAACCCAGAGTGATGGCAGAGGTTTAAAAGAGAACAGAGGCCTAGAATGGAATGACACTTCAAAACCAGGAGCTCCCACTTAGCCACAGTCCCTGCAGACTGAGTCATCATCAACCAACAATGGAATCCTCTGTACATAAAAGATCCCTTTGACAAACTTCTCAGACAATGCCTCAACTTCCTCTGCCAGGGTAGAATAAAAGTGTACATGGGTCAAGTGTCAGAAAAACTGCTTGAAATGTATGCATGCAGTGGGAAAAATCCATCCTAGAATCAGGAGAGGGTCACCTGCTAAGTCTCAAGGAAAGGCATTCTCATTTTTCTAATAACATCTTTGCTGTCTCCCTCTCTGGTATTTTTAAATCCATTCAAAGCACTTCCTGTTTTTAAACAGTAAGACAGATGCACTGGGCCTTTACTCCTGTGACTAGGTGAGGCGTCTTAAACAAGGCAAAGCAGAATGTGTTGTGAGGTCTACCTCCAAGGTTCCATTTATTCACGTATTCTTTTCTTCATTCATTCAACAAACAGATGGTGACAACATACCATGGGCCACATACTCTACCAGTGGGTCTTAAAAAATGACTAAGACACATCTGCCCTTGAGTTCCCCATGTACTGTGCAAAACCAAAACTCTCTGTAACATAACAAACAAGTGCCTTAGAAGAATATGAGTCTCATACTATGAAAAACCATGGCTGGCTGCCTGGCTGAATGATCTTTGTTTTGCTCAAAACAATTCTCAGTAGACTTAATCCACTGGAAAGGTGTGTGTGAGAAGGAGTGGGTGACTTGTCCATATGTTTTTGTTTTGGAGGCAAAGGTTTAAAAAGTAAAGTAGATCAGTCACGGTGGCTCAAGCCTGTAATCCCAACACTTTGAGAAGCTGAGGTGGGTGGATCACTTGAAGTCAGGAGTTCAAGACCACCCTGGCCAACATGGTGAAACCCTGTCTCTAGTAAAAATACAAAAAATAGCCAGACATGGTGGTGCACGCCTGTAATACCAGCTACTTGTGAGACTGAGGCAGGAGAATCACTTGAATCTGGGAGGCAGAGACTGCAGTGAGCTGAGATGGTGCTGCTGCACTCCAGCCTGGGTAACAGAGTGAGACGCCATCTCAAATAAATAAATAAATAAAGTAAAAGGGATGAGAATGGAGGAAAATTTTATTCATTGTATATTCAAATTCCTGGATTTACACTGTTATTTATCCACAGCTGGACACATGCTACCTGGGTCCTTTGGGCTGACTTACATGCCTGTGATAGCATTTCTCTATAAACACCTTGGTAACACTGTCTATGAAGCCTTTGCCATGTACCTCAGGAAACTCCAGCTTCCTAAGATCCCTCTGGGGAGCTCATCATTTTCACATGGTCTCCATGCGTGAGCTCCCCATTCCTACTGGCTCATTCTGCCTGAATCTGGAAGCCTGAAAATTTTTATTTATTTTTCATTTTTTGGAGACAGAGTCTTCCTCTGTCACCCAGGCAATGGTGCTATCTTGGCTCACCGCAGCCTCAACCTCCCAGGTTCAAGTGATCCTCCCACCGTAGCCTCCCAAGTAGCTGGGACTAGAGGTGCATGCCACCATGCCCAGTTAATTTTTGTATTTTTAGTGGAGATGAGTTTTCACCATGTTGACCAGGCTAGTCTCGAACTCCTGACCTCTGGTGATCCACCCGCCTTGGCCTCCCAAAGTGCTGGGATTACAAGTGTGAGCTGCCATGCCCAGCCTGAATATTCCATTTCTATTCCACAAAGACTCTTTTCAGGGCATTTTTTTCTTGTGGGGAGGAAAAAAACCAACCAGTTCTTCTTCCCCTGGATATTGTAACAGGAGAGTACAGAGACTAATTAAGATATATTTTCTGTCAGAAAACATGTATCACAGTCACTTAAACACCTATAGTTCTATTTCCCAAGAGGCCAAAAGCCCTTCATGGTCTTTGAGTTCTGTCATTAATTTGCATGCTTGCCCTGTGGAAGGAGGTACGTGGCCATTGTTCGTAGCCTTAGCGTACAGAGAGGAGTTCCAATGACCTGACCGAGTCTGGGAGGCAGCCAGGCATGAAAGCCAGGTTTCCTAAGGACTTGCCTGGGCCTACCCATGCCACCTGAGCAGCATGAGGGATGCACCTGCAAAGTCTGACAGCTTTGGTCTCACCGTATAGGATTGCACTACAGAGCTGGGTGGCTGGTATGGCCAGGTAGAAGGGAGAAACCACAGCAAAACTCCAAATGCGCTATGGGGAAGACTGTTCAACCTGAGTTTCTGATGGGAAATAGTCAGATATAATGGGCAAATCTGATGGACTGGGGACAGGCTGATCCGAGGCCTGATTGGAGGAGGGGTT